GGAGGTGGAGGTTGCAGTGAGCCGAGATTGCGCCACTGTGCTCCAGCCCGGGCAACAAGAGTGAGACTCTGTCTACGTATTTAAAAAAAAAAAAAAAAAAAAGCACTAACTCTAAAAAATAAGGTACTTTTCAAGGGGGTCTAGTAGCAAGAAAAAAGACACACACATGCAAATGGTCAAATGTAGCGTAAAGGCTGAGAAGTGCCATAGCCTAGAAAGTTTTATTAGCATTTTAGGGTCAATCTAAGTAGCTGACATGGGAAATGAGGGTGGAAGGTAGAGAAACCTATGCAAGTTATTACCATATTAATTATGACTTTATGATTTAAACAGATGGGAGTGAGACCAACATGGCCTTAATGCCTACCTCCTTCAGGTCTTTTCGCTAATGTCACCTTCAAGGACTTCCCTGACCACCCAATTTGAAAACTGTACCCCCTTTCACATGCTCTGATAATCCGAACCCCCTTGTTTTATTTTTCTCAACAGTATTACCCTCCAGCTAGGGCTCCCTCTCCGTTTTATTCACTACTGTACCCCCAGTGTCTGTGACAGGTGCTCAATAAATATCTTAACAAAGCAGGAAGAGAGAAAAGGGCAGGCTTTCCAGTCAAGCAACCATATGATGTGTTACATTTAGAGCAAAGTTGGTAATCAAGAAGAGAATGAAAAGATAAAGTGAATGATGGCGGGGGGTCTTGAATGTCAAATTAAGCAATTTCTAATGTTCCTATGCACTGGGAGATGAAGCTTACTTCTTTCAATCCAAGTGACCGTTTCAAAAAAACACTTTGGCCAATATTACAAATTAAACTAGATCCCTACAGGTCACAAGCATAAAACATTAATGCAGCTTCCTATTTTATGCCACAGCAAAATATTACTATAGTTAACAATTTACTACTTAGATATTTGAAATCACCAATATTCTTTTTAATATGAGCATGACTTGATGATGCATGATGTATATAAGAATCCCTAGTCACTTCTCCAAAAAAACCTGAATAGTCTACCATGTTTTTTCTGTTACATCAATAGGAATAAACAAACTGATACAAAAGAGTCAGGGCTCTTTCTTTTAAAAGATAGACTGGAGGAATGAAACACTAAAGACAATGTAGCGGCACTACCCAACCCCACATGAAGAAAATCAACACAACAGGTCTTATATCTGCAATTCCTTGATCAAACAAACCAAAGCAAATTAATTCTATAGAAGTACTCTCGAAACACTTATTCTTTTGCTATTTACCAACTCATAAAATAAAAATGTAACATAGTTCATTTCCTGAGCAGTAACTCCACAGTTACCAAAAAGGAACTCAAATTTCAACTCCAAAATATAGCTCTATAATGCTCCAAAAAGCCAAGGTCCTACCTTATTAAAAAAATTAAAGCATTTATTTTAAAACCTGCTTGAAATGCCTACAAACTAAAAGCCTCTAATTACTTCAAAGTAAAAAACAAACAAAACCCACACACATCATTAATTTAAAATGCTAATATAAAATCAAACTGGCCACTCAAAAGAGAGACCCAATGCAACCTCAATAGTAACACCAGTAGCGTGGTTTCCTATACTGCTTCAACTTGTAACACACAGAATTCAATAAAACTGTATTTTGCTTCTGGCTCGTATATGTCAGCTGATTAACTTCTAAGAAGTTCCCAATGACCTTATCGGATCCCATTATTTAACTGCCAATGCTATTTCAGAATTATGTACCCAGTTAAATACAAATCTTACACTACCTCCAAATGTATCATTTATTTTGCCCCATGACAATGTATTGATAAACTACAGTTAATCAAACAGCTCTACTCATTTCCCTTAATTGGTAAAACAGCAGCCATTTTCTGGGGGAACATTTTTTAATCAAGGAGAAACATTATGTCAGAGGTACACTGTGATTGACTCACAATGCTGAATGGTTTGCTATGTAAGTCCCCATTTTAATCAATGAAAACCACAGAAAAGGTTCTTGGGGACTGAATTATTAATGGCTACACACCACTTGGCTAATATGGCCTAATACAGTCTCACAGCAGGATTTACATAAAAATTATTCCAAAAATTTATTTCCTGCTGCCACTATCTACTTAAAAGATGGGTATAAATTTAATCTTTTCCTCATCTGAACTAGATAAATGCCCACTGCTTTATTTTGTTCTCAAAATAGCCCTCTATGGTATGGTTGTCACAAAGACTGAGGCTGATCCCTGGGACCTGCATATACAAGTATGTACAAAACCGAAACCGTGAAGTTTTGTCAATTTTGTTTTAACTAGAAAGAAGTACTACACTGGGTGAATTTCACTTATTGTGGTTTTTGTAATACTGTAATTCAAGAATAAAAGGCATCTCATGCTACTAGGATTAGGAACATCTGTGTCCTATTCATGATTATTTTTAGGAAAACTACCAAGCAGTCTACTGCCCAAGGAAAAAAAATGCAACAAAAAATTAATACCGAACATTTAAAAAAAAGTTAAAAACCTAGAAATATACTTGCCACCCCAACACCTTTTTTCTGCTGTAGTTCTTTGCATTTCACTAGTTTCTTAGCAACCGTATAGCACTCAAGTGGGTAAGCACACACAGAACAAGAAAAAACACCATGCTGGTTTTTTTCCTTTAAGATCTAAAACCAACTGTACCTTGTTACTGTACCTTGTAAAGAAACCTTGTTCTTCCAACCTAAGAATCACTTAAGACAGGGGTCCAATTTAGATAAATATACCACCCTAAAGGTCAGTGACCAAATTTGGTCAACAAGGGTGCCATCACAGCCGTCATCATTCTTGTCACCGTCAGGAACAACTGTCACCTTGCCATTACCAGGAAGGGAAAGCAACTGGAATATTCCTTTTGTAAGTTCTATTTACAGACTACAAAGAGTCCAACATCATCTTAGTATGATCTTACAACACGGTAACAATGGAAGAACCCAAAACATTAAAGGCTTCCCAGTGAAGAACTTTTTGATATTAAAAGCTGATAAACCACAAGAATTTGTAAGACCATGCCACACTCTGGGACAACTCCTAATTGCATTATAAATGTCAGGCATCTATTTTCTGAATATTAATGGCTTCAAGTGTTTTGTTCGTAATTTTAAAATGCCCAGATTGTTTTTAAACATGGAGACACAGCTTGTAACTCCCAATATGTTTTCACCCAATGGACACCATTTGTTTTCTGATTTATCTATGGAATACTTTCACCTTTCTGGGGGAAAGAAAATAAATTTTTTCATACTTACAAAAGATATACATGCTGCCAGTAATAAAATCCTAACTAGCAAGTCTTCAAACTGCTCAATCACAAGTTCCAGCAAGGTTTTTCCTGTAAGAAACAAACACATGTGTTGTAGCTGTCATCTTACCATCAGCACACCAAAAGAGGGAAAAAAAAATGTTAAGATTACCTTCTTCAGCCGGTAACTCTGTAGAATGTAGAAATTCGCCAGGCAATGTGTCAAGAGGGAGGTTAAAAAAAAAGAGAGAGACATTTTAGCACTCCGTCTTTCTAAAAAGAACTGCTACAATTCTAAGCATCAGTATCTTCAAAACACAGACCTAGCTATAGGAATATCCAATTTTTTTTAGCAGAAGGTATACTACAAAGATATCTCAAGAAAGCATGCACTCTTTGTAATCAATGGCCTGAGGTCTAGCCCTAAGCGTGAAATCACTTAGGGCTCCTGAACCGAGGAGTGGTTTCAGCGATGTCATCACTTCTGCCAGATGTGTAACTGGGTAGGACAAGAACGGTCAGAGGCTTTCCAACGACCTCGACGCCTCATAAATCGGCAGGGGACGAGAAAACGTCTTGCCGGGCTCAACCCAGCTGCAGGAGCCTCGTCCCTCCCTCCACCGGGACCGGCTGCTGCTGGAGAGAAGCCTCCGAGCCTTGCGCGCCGAGAAGATCCAGGGCCCGAGACGTGAGGAGGTCCAAGGGAGGCGAGGCGAGGCGAGACCCGCAGCCCCTTTCTCCCCTGCGGGGCCGCCGCGCCGGCCCGACCCTCCGCCCGCAGCCGTCGGCGGGCGCGGAGCCGAAGCCCACGAGGTGGAGCCCGGTCAGCCATCTTCCCTGGCTCTCCGGGCCGCACCGGGCCCCTGTAGCCGAACGCCCGGCACCTACCGTTGGAGCCCCATCTCTCCTTGAGCTTCTTGACCTGCTCCAGGCTCAGCCCCGTACTCTCGTTGACGCCGAAGTGGCCCAGCACCTCCTCTACCGTCTTTGTGTGCGCGTTCTCCATGGCTTCGGAGGCCCGGCCGGCCTCGCCTCCCGTCCCCGCGGCCTCCTCGCCTCCGCCTCGCACTCCGGCCGCGGGCTCGTGCCACCCCGGGAGCCCAGGCGCGGACGGGCGCTCCCCTCCTCCTCCTGCGGCCGCTTCCGCCTCGCCGGGCGCTGAATCACCCCGCGCCCCCTCCCCCAGACAACCGCCCCTCGCGAGGCCCCGAGCTCCGCAGGGCGGGTGGGGGGCTCCTGACCCTCCCTCCCCTCGCAGAAGGGAGGGCCTCCCTCGCCCTCAGCCGCCCGCGGGGAGCGCAGGCCGCGGCCCCCGAGCCCCCTCCCCGTTCTCTTGAGGCGATCAGAGGCCCCGCCCGGGCCGGAGGAGGGGGCGCCCGGCCGACCTCCGAGGGCGGAATGCGGCAAGGGAGGCGAGCCGGCGGGGCGGTGCGCGGCAGCGCTCGACCGGGTCCCTCAGCTCCGCACGCACGACAGCGGCGGAGGAAACTGCGGCGAAGGAGAAGGAGGTGGCGTCGGGGACGGCTCCGCGGCGGCTGCTCTAATAGCATTTATCGGCCGCTGCCTCCCCTCTCGCCGCCGCCGCGGCATGTGGACGCCGCTCATTGGCCGAGAGCGCCCAGCGCGGCGCGGGCGGCGCGGCCCCGCCCCCTCCCCCCGGCTCCCTCCTCCCGCGCGCCTGGCGCCCACGCTGCCGCGCAGGCCCCGCCCCCTCCCGCGCGCCGCCCCTAGGAACCCGGATCGAGGCCGCGCGCGCCGCGGTCCCGGGGTTGGCGGAGGGGGAGCCGGGGTCCCTCCTAGCTGCGTGCGGTTCTCTGGCCCACCCACCTGCGGACGCAGGGTGGGGCGCTCACAGTGCGCTCGCTGCTTTGGGGCCGGTGGGCGGATGGTTGGAAGGCGAGGCCGAGGAGCTTGGAGCGCGGTCCACGCGGGGCGTCCTCGAGGCGCGCTCGGGCTGGTTGGTGTCCTTGGCTCGCCTCCTCGCCCTCGGTCGCCCGGGCTGCGCTCTGCATCCTAATCTGTCTCCTTCGGAGCCCCCCTCAGGAACCAAGGGGAGGAATTCCGCAGTTCCCTTCCCACACAACCCAAATCCTTCATCTGTCTCCTCGGGAACACCGCATCCCACACCCCCTGCCGCCAGCTCCTTCGCACGCCAGCCCCGATTCTACCCCAGCGGGTTCTGGGCCCTGACGAGGGAACCCCCCTCGCGGGGGGGGAGGGAGAAGAGTTGATTTTATTATTAATAGCTCACGCAGCGCTTGTTAGGTGTCTGCAGGGCAGTCACAGGTCACACCGCTGGAGCTGCCACACAGCAGCTAGACTTGGGCTAGGAGGTGCTTCGCTGTGGCTTTCAGATGAAGGCCGGTTCATGGACTCACTTCCCTCGACAGGAGAAAAGGGGACTTGAATCCAAAGCCTGCTGTTAAGCCACGGATGATTTGCTCTGCTTGGAAGGACGAAACGCAGGTCACAGCGAGATAAAGGGAATTTTGCCAATATAAATTAGCTACATTACTTAACAAGGGGATGGGAAATTGCATGGAATTCATGAACAAAACATTAATATATTCGCTTCACAAAGAAGAGCAGCTTTCTTCAGGGAGTAGGTTGCAGAATGAAGCATTTAGTCCACTTTTGTGTTTAGCAATAATACACCATCCACATGAGCAAAAGCAGAGCAGAAAAATCACCTCAGTTGTCTCAAGTGGCTAGGCTTCAGGACTTAAGATAAATTCCTTCAACAGGTGCAAATTACAGTGCATCAGCAGCTGAAAAAAATGAGGCACGTCATGTCATTTAATTATTTCCAAGGAGTGGAGGTTGGCATGTAGTTTTGATTGATACTTGGAAAAGAAGCAACAAAACCCTACACGAAACAAACAAAAATTCTCCTGTATGGCAACGCACTGAGAGAAGCCAGGTGGAAACTGGTTAGGTCACAGGATCAAAGCCGCTTCAAGAGGGGCACATGACTGCACGGTGGGGGTGTGGTCATGGAGGGCTGGTTGTTGTTGCCCTCTGAGACCAGCTCTGCACCATTTCCTACCAATTCTTCTCCCTTACCTCTCTCTCTTTCAGGACCGATAGAAGACTGCAGGCAAGAGAAGGATGGTTTACCTTACTCAGTCTGGAAATTAGCTTAGGCATTTGATGTTGAATATTCTGTGCCACTGTCACTGCTTGGGGTTGTAAGCACCTCTGGTGCAATTATGAGCTTCTGGAGGAGTTCCTGACCCCAGCCTTTGTATGGAATGCTCTTCCCACAGATCTTCACTTGTGTCATTCTCTTTCTTTTCAAATTGCAGCTTACATGTCCCCTCCTCAGAGATGTCTTTGCTGTCTAAAGTGGCTACCTAGGCACAGTGGCTCACGTCTGTAATCCCAGCATTTTGGGAGGCTGAGGCAGGAGGATCCCTTGAGCTCAGGAGTTTGACACCAGCCTGGGCAATATATCGAGACTCCATCTCTACTAAAAAAAATAAAAAATAAAACAAAAATTAGCTGGGCGTGGTAGCCTGCGCCTTTAGTCCCAGTTACTCAGGAGGCTAAAGAGGGAGGATCGCTTGAACCCAGGAGGTCAAGACCAGTGATCTGTGATCACACCACTGCACTCCAGCCTGAGCAACAACAGAGTGAGACCCTGTCTCAAAAAAAAAAAAAAAAAAAAAAAAAATTAAAAAAAAGTGGCTACTCTCGGCAATTCACCTTCCATCACATTCTTCAGTTTTCTTCTTTTTTTTTTTTTTTTTTTTTTTTGAGACGGAGTCTCGCTCTGCCGCCCAGGCTGGAGTGCAGTGGCCGGATCTCAGCTCACTGCAAGCTCCGCCTCCCGGGTTCACGCCATTCTCCTGCCTCAGCCTCCCCAGTAGCTGGGACTACAGGCGCCCGCCACCTCGCCCGGCTAGTTTTTTGTATTTCTTAGTAGAGACGGGGTTTCACCGTGTCAGCCAGGATGGTCTCGATCTCCTGACCTCGTGATCCGCCCGCCTCGGCCTCCCAAAGTGCTGGGATTACAGGCTTGAGCCACCGCGCCCGGCCTTTCTTCTTTTTTTTCTTCTTTGAGACAGAGACTCTGTCACCCAGGCTGGAGGACAGCAGCACAATCCCAGCTCACTGCAACCTCGGCCTCCTGGGTTCAAGCAGTTCTTCTGCCTCCACCCCCTAAGTAGCTGGGAATACAGGTGCACACCACCATGCCTGCCTAATTTTTCTATTTTTAGTAGAGACTGGGTTTCACTATGTTGGCCAGGCTGGCCTCGAACTCCCGACCTCAGGTAATCCACCTGCCTCGGCCTCTCAAAGTGCTGGGATTACAGGCATGAGCCACCGTGCCCAGTCAGTTTTCTTCAGAGTGCTTACTTGTGATGTTGTATTTTGGTTTAGCTGTTAACTGCCTGTCTCCTAGTGTCTCATGGAGCTCTAGGACAGAAGCTCCATAGGAACAGGGCCTTGTCCATCTTGTCCATCCTCAGTACAAAGAACAGTCTATGCTCCTTATTTATTAAATGCCTGCTGTTTGAATGAATGAATGAGTCCCACCATCCCTAGCCCATAAGCGACTTGCAAAGGGCCTCCCCCATAGGAGGGCCTCAGCAAATTTTCAGTGAACTCAAGTTCATTGATTTCCAATTTGTGAAATAAATTAGAGGGCCTCTCTGAACTACTTGCCTCATGAGAATGGCTGTGAAGTGTAGTCAGTTTAAAACAAACATACAAAAACAAAGCTAAACAGCATTACAGGTTTCTCAGAAAGGAGGAAGGTTCAAGTTCACATTGGTACTGTTACCACACTGCCATTGCCCTCCTAGACTGTTCTCCACAAGCTTTCTATTTACTGGAGGCTGGAATACTCCCTTAAGCTGAAACTGTGATTTTAAGCCCAGAATTGGACCCCTTATACATCATCATAACAATTATGCTCTTGGTTCCTCAACCTGCTGGTGTCTCTGAAAGCTGTTGTTGATGGGTTGCCAAAATTTATCAGAAACGCAGTCTCCCAAAGGCAGAAATATCTACTTTCTTTCATGTAGAAATAAACTTGTGCTTAATTTATTTTATGCATCTTGTTATACTTGCTTCTTGTTAACAAGGGTTTTTAAAAGTAAGAATAGGTTTTAGAAATACTCTATTTTTCAGCAAGAATTGCAGGCACATTCAATCAATTGAGGACGGAGAGAAAACAGAAACTGATTCAGAAAGATGGATGATTTGATCAAAGAACTTCAAAGGCATTAATAAAGGAGGACATTAGCTGCTAAAAGGCAAGCTGGTTTAAAAAGCAAGTTAGACAGAAATGGACAGTGGAAATGAGTGACTTGTAAAAGAGGCCCCAGCCAACTTCCCAGTGCTGTAAAGCAGTGGAGATTGCAAAAGGCAGTCCGTTCTGTATTTGGACAGCTCTAATCATTAAAGCAGTCTCATTCTAGGCTGAATCCACCTCCCATTGGCTAACTTCATCTATACATTGGATCTTGTTTAGCTCTCTGGAACCATTCCAAATGAGTTTAATTCCTCTTTGGTGTGAGATTCCTTTGAGTATTTCAAGCTATCTACTGTGTTAAAAAGTCTCTTCCCAGCCGGGCGTGGTAGCTCACGCCTATAATCCCAGCACTTTGGGAGGCCAAGGCGGGCGGATCACAAGGTCAGGAGCTCGAGACCAGCCTGGCCAACATGGTGAAACCCCATCTCTACTAAAAAAAAAAAAAAAAAAAAAAAAAAACAGAAATTAGCCAGGCATGATGGCATGCGCCTGTAATCCCAGCTACTCCGGAGGCTGAGGTGGAAGAATTGCTTGAACCTGGGAGGCAGAGGTTGCAGTGAGCCGAGATCGTGCCACTGCACTCCAGCCTGGGTGACAAAGCAAGACTCTGTCTAGGGAAAAAAAAAATAAAGTCTCTTCCCAGCTTCTTCCTAGATCATGAGTTTGTAATCCCTCAGCAACTTTGTCATCCAGTTCTAGAGGTACCCAGTACTGAGTACAAAAGTCTGGGCATGGGGCCGGGTGAGGTGGCTCACGCCTATAATCCCAACACTTTGGGGGGCCAAGGCGGGTGGATCACATAAGGTCAGGAGTTTGAGGCCAGCCTGGCCAACATGGTGAAGCCCTGTCTCTGCTAAAAATACAGAAATTAGTTGGGTGTGGTGGCATGCCCCTGTGATAGCAACTGCACTCCAGCCTGGGCGACAGAGCAAGACTCTGTATCAAAAAAAAAAAAAAAGAGTCTGGGCATGGTCTTGCAGAGGAGTTGTCATGCCCACCTTTACACTGGATCTTTTCCCCTGCACACTGTAGATTTGTGCTAACAGTCAACTCAAAACAGAGTCCTTTCTATATAAACTACAGTCATTAAATCTCATTGTGCACTTGCACTATTGATTGTTTTTAACCCAGGCACTGAACTCTGCATGTACTTGAATGTTCTCATGCTCTAGACCCATGTTTAGCATCTGTTCTGGTCTTTTGAGTTCTTCATTTTCAAGTACTTTAGCTCTATGTCCCAGCTGTGGGTTACATACAAATTTGATAAGCATGTCTTCTATGTCTCTATCCAGTAGAACTTCTAGACACTCATTCCAGATTGAAAATATCCAATTAAATGTGTTTAATTGTTCAACTATTATAAAAAATCAACTTGACTACAGTGTCCAAAATCAGTAAAGTGAAAATTTTCTAAGGCACTCCCTGTCTTCTTATCTTCTATAATACTTTATTACACAGTGTTGGAACAGATAATTTTTCTTTTGGTTGAGTGCCTGATGTAGTCAGCTTGACCTAAGGGTCATGTTATATGAAAACACCCATTTATGTACCAAAATCAGAACTGACACAGTCAGATGCTTACACTGAGACACCGATGAGAACTAAGGCTGTTCAACCAAGTTACATCTGTCATCTCTTATGGGGCACATACTTGTTGAGTAGAATGATGAGAATTGCCTGCAGTATTTAAATTGATGATTAGGCAGACATTAGTCTACCACCCACCTTTCTCTACTTTGTCCATAATAAGTTAATGAGAGGACTGGCCGGGTGTGATGGCTCATGCCTGTAATCCCAGCACTTTGGGAGGCCAAGGCAGGTCGATCACCTGAGGTCAGGAGTTCAAAAACCAGCCTGGCCAACATGGTGAAACCCCATCTTTACTAAAAATACAAAAATTAGGCAGGCATGGTGGCAGGTGCCTGTAATCCCAGCTACTCAAGAAGCTGAGGCAGGGAGAATGGCTTGAACCCAGGAGGCGGAGGTTGCAGTGAGCCAAGATTGCGACACTGCACTCCAACCTGAGCAACAGAGCGAGACTCCATCTCAAAAAAAAAAAAAAAAAACCGGGTGCAGTGGCTTACGCCTATAATCCTAGCACTTTGGGAGGCCAAGGTGGGCAGATCACAAGGTCAAGAATTCGAGACTAGCCTGACCAATACGTGAAACCCCATCTCTACTAAAAATACAAAAGTTAGCCAGGCGTGGTGGCACACGCCTGTAATCCCAGCTACTCAAGAGGCTAGGGCAGGAGAATCGCTTGAATCCGGGAGGCAGAGGTTGTAGTGAGCTGAGATTGCACCACTACACTCCATCCTGGGTGACGGGGCGAGATTCTGTCTCAAAAAAAAAAAAAAGAGAGGAAGATTCAGAGACATTGTCCATAACAGGCTCCAAATCCACACTCTAGTGCTCTTTTCACAGAAGTGCAGAAATGCATCCACTTTGATGTGGCTTATGTTACTGAACATACACCAGCTCCTAGTGACCACCACTTTTTCTACATGC